ACCCTAAACCCTAAACCGAGCCTCCATCTGGCCCGGGAGGTTCATGCAGCTGAGAACATTCTCCGTGGCGAGCGGACGAACCTGGCGGCTCGGGGAAAAAAGCTGACGGTTTAGGGTTTAGGGTTTACAATACCGGGGGTGAAGATTTGCCAAGAAACTCTTCCTAGCCTTCCTTATAGCACCCAAAGCCGTGATCGAATCGTACAGATTCCTGTGGCGTTTAGCCTATACTACGGGGGATGGAGGAAATCTTGCACCGGCCACAGGCTGACTCATGACATCGCCCATCAGCAGGACCCCGCGCCCCCTGCTTATTCTTTGATAACAGTCTTCCATGGAACCCACTCCCCTGCCTAGGACCTAGGACTAGACATCAATGGTAAACAGAGGGTGCGGGGTATTCTATTTGGTGGTCTTTTCAAACTGGTGCAAGATTTCCTCCATTAACAGTACCTTGGACCTTGGCATCCGTCCCATGCAAGGTGGAATCAGGGAGACCCCTTAAAGGGAACCCTTCTTAACCCTGCTTATGGCTCTGTTCAAAGGGACTTTATTGAGAGGGTCTATATCCCCAAGGGTCCCAATGAGACCGTTTGGCATTTCTCGGTTTGCGCAGCTGGGAAGTAACGAACTTGAGAGATTGACAAGAGGCTTTGTTGGAAGGTCTTCGAGTTAATGTATTGGTCTAACTACATACTTACATTATCGCGCAGGCTTCGTTACTACTACTGAATCAGTAGAATACTCAGGCTACCATTCTCACACGAACCAGTAGAATGTATCCAAAGTCCAAACCACATTCTAAAAGATTACGACCCCTGTATTTTTCGAACTAACTATTGTCACGGCCTTTTAGTCCCTGGATAGTTATGCTACAGAATGCCCCCAACGCCTATTCCCGTTATCAAGGCCCTTATGTTTGTGGATGTAGACCTCGTCCCTTAGTCGTTGCCAATGCTGAGCATTTCACTGACAGACACAGGCCAACGAACTTGCCGCGTGGGTGGGACCTTATTCCTGAACGCCCCTCTCAACATCCTAACCAAAAGACTCGAGATACAAACTGACAAACATCCCATACACACCCTAACCGGGATCATGCAAACCCTAAACCCTAAAACCCTAAAACCCTACAACCCTAAAACCCTAAAATCCTAAAGCCCCAACCCTAAAATCGTAAAACCCTAAAACCCTAAAACCCTAAACCCTAAACCCTAAACTGCAAACCCTAAACCCTAGACCCCTTGGAGCGTGCAGGTGATCTGGAGCCGGAGCTGGGTCTGGCGCGTTGCAGGCAAGTTTCCTTTTGATTGTTTCCGTTAAGGAGCCTTGTTTTGGGGTTTGGGTTTAGGGTTTAGTCTGTGGTGGGCAGCTTGGAGGCACTTCAGAGAGACCTCGTTCAAAAAAAAGGTTTTATTCTGGCTGTTCTTTGCAAAAAAAAGAAAGATCAAGTGTTTCACTTGAAAATAAGCAATATGAACCCAAGGGCCAGGGTCAGGGGGCTAGCGAATAACGTTTTGGCAATGCCACAGAGCTTTCTGATTGAAGAACATTGTTTGGTTGGTTAGCATAGTTAATATAGGGGCCTTAATAATTAGAATAGGGTTTGGGGTTTACTATACCATAATTCAAACAAGGAACCCCCCAAGACCCTATTCTAATTATGAAGGCCGCTACATTAGAAACTGTGGTCAATAGCAGCCCAGAGAGCCCTCCCGTTAGTCAAGGAGTATACCTTAACCTTAGCTTGTTATGAGGAACATAAACTGGTATTGGTGAGTAATTATTGCTTTCGGTTTATTCCTTGACCAAGGGGTGTTCGGGCTTCCTGAGCGAGAAACTTTTGCCCAAGTTATCATGACAGGGTTTGTAGCAAGTCGTACGGTTTTCTCCGCTTCTCATTGTGGCACCTTAAACTTACAGTTGAGCAGGCTTATAAGCGCATCAACCCTTAATCAAGAAGAACCGTGAGCTTCTGAGAATCTTGTGGCTCTGGGTCTCGGAATGTAGCACTTCAGCGAATTCCTTTCCTTTACTGGAGTTGCAATAGTTTTCGCGGACACCACGGCCTCATGCGTGCTGATGATGTTTGATGCGGGGTTCGGGGGTTTAGCATAGGGACCTGAATACCTGCCAAGATAATTCATATTCCTCAGGACTCCTTATGATATAATCTTTCTGTAAACCCACTCGTAAAAGCAAACAACACAAACGGCAGTTCTTTAAGAATAGTATGACCTCTATAAGGTAGGGCCCAGCACCTCGAGAATCTTCACGCCGAGGTCTGCGAAGATCCCCTAACCTTCGTTTTTTTTGCAAAGTTTCAGCACGTCCCTCCGCGCCATGGGAGCCGGTGCTTGCGGTGAGCTTCTGGCGGCCGGAAGCAGTCGCCCAAGATGAGCTCAGCGACTTCGTGCGGAGCTTTTCAAAGAAAGAGCCCGACAAGCTGTCGGGGGCATGGAAGGCGGTCGAGCGCGAAAGGGTGCTGGGGCCAGGTGAGCTGTCGGGCTACTTCACCGGGCCCGACCTCCGGGGAGGGATCTACGAAGGCACCGAGTACATCAGGGACACCCAGGAGCTTACAAGGCTTACACCTACAGGCACGATTGGGGTAGTTCTTTAAATTTGGGTCGCTGTTGAGGTCCCAAGTATAGTACGGCACCCTTATAAAAGGGACCCTGGTTGAGAGAACAACCCATTGTCCTGATTGTCCCGTCCATGTCTGGGACTTGATGGTGCGGGTTTAGGGTTTTAGGGTTTACCATTTATGAATTATAGCAACGAGGTCGCCTTCCAGAATGTCGGCGACCTGAAGCATGGCTGCCGAACTTTTCGCCTCTCTGCCGGACTCCTGCACCCATTTTGGAAAGTTGAAAGGGCATTTATGGCACCCAGCAGTGACGCCTCTGACCCTGAGTCCAAGCGTGTACTCCGAGAGTGGGGCGATGGAAATCCGCAGGGCCATCGAGCAGCAGTTTGTATCCCGATCCTGGTGCCGAGACACATGTAGAGGAGCGCCCCATCAGACTGGGCGAAGATTACCGTGGCCGCTCTGGGAATCGCGCGCGAGATGTTTGGGTGTTACTTGGATGGGCCGGGGGGTTGCT